TACTACTGCTAGTCGAGACCACACCAGATATTGTGATTTTCATCAAGATCACGGCCATACTACAGAGCAGTGCAACAGCTTAAAGTCCGAACTGGAAAGTTTAGCTCAGAAGGGAATGCTAAATGAGTATGTTCAGAGAGCTGAACAGCCGAGGTTTATCAGAGAACAGAGGCCGTAGCCTCAAGGAGTCCGCAATCCCCCAAATAGGCAAGGTGTGGGATATCAGCAAGCCCCACCTCCGCTCCCACCACCAGCTAGAATCATACATATGATTACGGGAGGCCTTGAAGCAGATGGACTGAGCTCTAAGCAGCGAAAGCTGTATGTCAGAGAGGTTAAACATCAAAACTGAGCTCAGAAGAGGAAGATTGACGATGCTGAGTGGAAGAATCAACCCATTACTTTCACATCTGCTGATCTCGATACAGTTGTTACACCCCACAATGATCCCTTGGTCACTTCTGTCATGATTAACAACTGTAAAGTACAGCGTGTCCTTGTTGACACCGGGAGTGCACCAGACATCATGTACTTCCACTGTTTCGAGAGTCTTGGATTAGATCCAGCATTGTTGCAGAAGTATGATGGTCCTATCTATGGTTTCAACAACCAACCTGTTCCGGTAGAAGGAGTTTTTACCCTCCATGTGGCTTTTGGGAGTGGCAGGACCTATGTGACCCCGTCGGTCCGGTTCCTCGTGGTCAAAATGGCGTCCTCTTTCAACATTGTTATTGGCCGACCCACACTGACTGAAATCCGAGCTGTGGTTTCCCAGTCTCACCTCTGTATGAAGTTCCCAACCCCTATGGGAATAGCAACATTGCGAGGAAACCAGGAGGTGGCCAGGCATTGTTATATCACCTCGGTAACACAACCCATGAAGGACAAAGCTCAGACACTCGAGGCCATTCCTCAGCGAATCTCTGATAATCAGCAAGTTATGGGAGTTGAGATCGTAGATAATCGACCAGAAGATGAAACCAGAGCTGCTTTGGTCGAAGATGTTGAAGAAGTACTCATTGATGACAGAGATCCGAGCCAAAATACGCAGATCGGAACTAGATTGAACCCAGAGGAAAGGGCAGAGCTCATAGCTTTTCTTCGAGCTAATAATGATGTATTTGCATGGACTTCGGCAGATATGCCAGGAATTCCAAATTCAGTCTCTCAACATAAGCTCAGCACCAATCTATTGAAGAAACCAGTGGCCCAGAAGCGGCGTCTCTTCGGGGGTGAGAGGCTTCAGGCTATTAAAGAAGAGGTAACGAAGCTCCTACAGGCTGGTTTTGTCAAGAAAGTTGATTACTGTGAATGGGTGGCTAACCCAGTTCTGGTGAAGAAGGCAAATGGCAAATGGCGAATGTGCATTGATTACACAAATCTTAACAACGCCTGCCCTAAGGATTGCTATCCAATGTCGAGCATTGACAAACTAGTTGAAGCGGCTTCAGGCAATGAGAGGTTAAGCCTCTTGGACGCATATTCAGGGTATCACCAGGTGCCAATGGCTCCAGAAGACGAAGAGAAAACCGCGTTCTATGCTGGCGATGAAATTTATTGTTATGTCATGATGCCGTTTGGCTTGAAGAATGCAGGTGCTACTTATCAGAAAATGGTAACCATTGTCTTCCACGCTCAGATTGGCAAGAATCTGGAGGTATATGTCGACGACATTGTGGTAAAGAGCCTAAAAGCAGAAGACCATCTCGCCGACCTCGACGAAACATTTAACAACCTTAGAAAGAACAGGATGCGGTTAAACCCAGCCAAATGCATCTTCGGAGTGGAGTCTGGAAAATTTCTAGGTTTCATGGCGTCCCGAAGGGGAATTGAGGTCAATCCAGAGAAGATCAGAGCAATTGCCGAGATGGAACCGCCAAAATCAGTGAAGGATATACAGAGGCTGACTGGAAGGGTGGCAGCTCTGCATCGGTTCATATCGAAGTCAGCAGATAAATGTCTGCCATTTTTCAAAATTATGAGGTCAGCCGCCCAGAAAGACGAGTCAGGAAAGCAAAAGAAGTTCGAATGGAGCCAAGAATGCCAAGCTGCATTTGAAGAGCTAAAGTGTTATCTTAGCTCACCGCCTCTGTTGACTAAGGCTGTAGATGGAGAACTTCTTTACTTGTACCTGGGGATTTCAGACGAGGCCATTAGTTCAGTTCTGGTGAGAGAAGAAGCTAGGCAGCAGAAACCAATTTATTATATCAGCAGCGTGCTGCACGGAGCAGAGCTGAGGTATCCTATAGCTGAGAAAGCAGCATTAGCAGTCGTCACTTCAGCTAGGAAGTTGAGGCCATATTTTCAGTCACACCCAATTATCATTCTCACCGATCAACCTCTCAGGCAGATTCTGTAGAAACCAGAGTGCTCTGGAAGATTAATTAAGTGGGCAGTAGAACTGGGAGAGTTTGAGATAACATTCCAGCAGAGATCGGCCATCCGAGCTCAAGCATTAGCACATTTTATTATCGAATGCACTCCATGTCCTTCAACCTCTAATCCAGAGCCCAACGACTGGACCTTATATGTCGACGGAGCATCTAGTAGCAAAGGGTCAGGGGCTGGCGCTCTCTTGATTGGTCCAGAGGGATACCGAAGCGAACATGCCCTGAAGTTTAATTTTGATGCAACAAATAACATGGCCGAGTATGAAGCTCTGCTACTTGGTCTACAGCTAGCATTGGAATTGAAAATCAGTGCAATTCAAGTATACAGTGACTCCTAGTTGGTAGTAAACCAAATTAACTCAATCTGCGAAGTTGTTGATCTTGTGATGGTGAAGTACGTAGCCTTGGTGGCCGAGCTGAAGTGCAAATTCCAGAAATTCTGTCTGAGTAAAATTCCCCGAGCTGAGAATGAACAGGCAGATTTACTTTCCAAGTTTGCCTCTGATGGCTCTTTAAGTTCCAGATCCATTTTTGTGGAGGTCTTAGATGAACCAAGCTTCATGAAGCCTCGGATGATGGAGATTAGCACAAACCCTGACACACCAAGCTGGACTGACTCAATTATCTCCTTTTTGCGAGATGGAATAATACCTGAGGAAAGGCAGGAGGCAATGAAGTTGAGGAAGAAAGCATCTCGGTATACACTTGTTGATGGGGTCCTCTATAAGAGATCTTTTTCACTTCCTCTTCTGCGATGTTTGAATCCCTACGAAGCCGAGTATGCACTTCGAGAGGTACATGAAGGTGTCTGTGGGAGCCATGTCGGCGCTAGAACTCTGGCTCACAAAGTCTTAAGGCAGGGATATTACTGGCCAAACATGTATAAGGATGCCACTCACTTTGTTCAGAAATGTCCGAGGTGCCAATTCTTTGCACATTTGACTCACCAACCTGCAGAAGAACTCACGAACCTGGTAGCACCATGGCCATTTGCACAGTGGGGACTAGATCTTTTAGGTCCATTCGTAAAAGGGATTGGTGGTGTAACCCATCTGGTTGTTGGTGTGGATTATTTCACAAAGTGGGTCGAAACTCGGCCTTTATCTAGTCTTACCTCCAAGAAGGTTGAAAATTTTGTTTTCAGCTCGATCATCTCCAGATATGGGATCCCGAATCAAATTGTAGCTGATAATGGAACTCAATTCAATTGCTCCTCATTCCGAGATTTCTGTTCCAGTTATGGGATCAAGTTACAGTTCACCTCCGTTTACCATCCGGAGTCCAATGGCATGGTGGAATCTGTTAACAAATGCATTTTGGAAGGTATAAGGTCGAGATTGGAGCAGCATAAGGCCAAGTGGGCAGACGAGCTCAACAACGTCCTCTGGGCATACAGAACCACGAGCCGAACTGCCACAGGTACTACTTTAAACCAAGTTTATTTGATTAATTTCTATAGTATTTCACTTCTTCTGTTACGATTTACCTTAGAGCAAATATGCATAATGCATAAAGCGCATTCTAAAATTATAATTAACTGACATAGGTGAAACACCCTACCACCTGACCTTTGGTACCGAAGCAGTCATTCCTATTGAAATAGGAGTCCCAAGCTTCCGAGTCACCCATTTCGATGAAGGACGAAATGGACAACTGCTTTGGGAAAACCTTGATCTGCTTGCTGAAGTCAAAGAAGAAGCTCGGCTTCGAACTCTTGTATACAAGCAGAAACTAGCCAACTTCTATAATAAACGGGTCCGCCCTCGCACATTCAAAATAGGAGACCTTGTTCTCAGAAAAGCTGGCCTAACAGGGTTTGAAACTCGTTTTGGCAAACTCGCCCCGAATTGGGAAGGCCCTTATACCGTGGCCGAGGTGCCACATCCTGGTGCCTATGTCCTCTAAGACGTTGAAGGAAAGAGAGTTCCTAGAGTCTGGAATGTCAATAACTTGAAGAAATTTTACCCCTAATAAAATTCTTTCAAGAGATCTATGTCTTACAGTTCTTGTTTCATGTTTGTTGAGATTCATTTTACATATTATCCTATGTACCTGAGGTCAATCAGTTCATCCATTCCTTGAACCTCACTTCTGTTAATAAATGTCACTTCACATATGAAGTGCTTTATTTCCTTTTAATTCATTTACAGTGATGTACTTGTTCTTAACTCATTTGAAGAAGGTTCTTTCTTTGTAGTTCGTCTCTGAAGTGATTAACTTCTTTTTATTAACTTTCTTTTTTAAAGTAGTCTCGGTTCTTCTATCAACATACAATAACAAACAGGCAAACACAAATAAACACATAATTTCAAAAATAAACTTTCATTCAAAATGATATAATTATTACAAGCTGTTTAAATGTCTTTACAAAAAATTAAAAAACAAACAAAATTATTTTTCTGCTGGGAGAGGTGGCTCCACTGGCTCCTGTTCAGCTGGAAGAGGTGGCTGTCTTGGCTGCTGCTCGTCTGGCAAAGGAGGCTGCTCATCGTCAGAGGGAACTGGATGAATCTCCACTTCTGGAACTGGTTGGCTCTCATCCACTTCAGCTCCCTCCACTCTTGCCTCCACCTCGTCTTCCTCTACCTCTGCCCCTTCTTCCTCCACTGCCACGAACTCGAAGTCGAACTGTGGAGGGAAAACAGCACGTCCGTT